TTCAAGTGATCCTCCTACCTTAGCCTCCTAAGTGCTGGAACTACAGGTGTGCACGACCACGCCCAGCTATGATTTGTTTCTTAGGTTATGTTATCTTCGTTTTTTATAGTTCTACTCTATCCCCACCTTCCTCTTCCCTCCCCTCATCCTCAGGAACGAGGAATGTGTCCTCATGGGCAAAGTCTGTCTTCTGTCTGGTTTATTGCAGGTTTATTACCTCACCCTAAGTTCATGTGTCCCAGGCTGTCTGTCTCCCTTCTAAGTTCTTATGTGAATTCCTTTGCACATCCCTAGTAGGAAATCTGGTTTAGACTTTCATCTGAAGGTAGGGGCTTTATTAATTAACTTCTCAAAACTTCTGATTCAAGGATACTCTAATTCTGAGGTCTTGGATTCAGTGATGCCACCATTCTAGATTCCTAAGCTTCTGAAACTCAGATTACACCAAGCTAGAATTCTGTGATGCCAAGATTCCATGACTGTAAACTCTATGAATCTAGAGTTTCATTGTCTTTTATTGTGGTTAGTGAATTTTGTCATTGACTTGGTGACAAGAGCAAGCATTCACTTGGTCTGGTTTTCAGCATTTGTTTCCCAGAATTTGCAAATCTAGACTCTAGGCTCTCTTCTCTGGATTTGCTGAGATAGAGGAAGAAGATGGCTGATAAGAGAGGGATTCCCACTTTTCCTGAGGCTGTTGGGTAGCCCAGTCCTAGGCCCCAACAGTTCATTCTACCTCATTCAAGCCCCTCATTTGTCTCCATATCTGAGGAAATGGAAAACAGTCTCCTTTACAGCCCTTCCTCCCTGGCCTGCCCTAGGGTCCAGGGGAAGAATATTCAGTGGGAGACTGCCCTAGCCAAATGGGCAGCAGGGGAGAGTTACACACAGGGCAAAGAGCAATGAAGGAGGCATGAAGATTCCCTAGGAATTTCTGAAGGCTTCCCCAGAGGTGAGGAAGGAAGAGATATGGGAAATGAGGGTGTAGATGAAGGCACTGGGTGAGGATGGGTAATTGGTATTGCATTGTAATATTGGAGATCAGCCTCCAGACACTGACCCATTAGTGACAAGGGACCTCTAGCCTGGTGCTCCAAAGGCTGTCTGGTCTGGCCCCTACCCTTTGACCTGGTGTTCTCATACCTGAGTCAGACTCCCAGAAAAACCCAGAGGGCAGGAGCTGGGGGATGGCGAAACAGATCTTCCAGAGTCACTTCCTGGGAGGGCCCACTGAGGCTAGAAAGAGGACAGAAATTTCCAGGCTTAGGGTAGAAACTCAGGTAGAAACTGAAACTCAGGGCTCCTGACTCCACTCCAGAACTGCTCTGTCTCTGCTCCAAAGGGTCCCAAAATTATAAAATGCTCCTCCAACCACATGGTTGATGAGACTCAGGGCTGGAGGATGGGCCTGCCCCAGGCCACCTCCCAGGAGCCTTCTGGACCCCATCCTCCAGTCCCAAAGCAGGAGACTAAAGCTGCCAAACCCGATTTTCTGGTGGCTGCCTGAAGCTGGCTGGAGCAGGAAGCCTTCTTCCTGGCATTGGACACCTCAGGCCACTATCCTCCTCCCCCTTACCTCATGGTTCCCTGGCCTGGCCTTCAACTCTGCATCTGTGCCAGCTGTTCCTCAGCTTCTGAAAGTGCACCCCGACTTCTTCACTTCTTCCTCCACCTGCCTGACATCTCCGTTGGGATGCACACCCCCTYGATTTTCTCATCTATAGATGGGAGCAGTGGCCTGCCTCTTAGGGAATCAAGGAATCAGTTGCAGCTGTGGAGGGGGGGATCCAAAGAAAAGGGGAGTGAGAAGGGGGCCCATCACTTGCAAGTTTGGTGTGGTACTGGGAGCGTAGCCTGGGGAGTGAGAAGAAAGCACTGCCAGTAGAAATCTGGAGGTATGGTTGCTGGGGTAAGGATACAAGGTAAGGGGGGGTGTGCTCCCCCTGGTTTCCTTACTGTTATCCCACCTATGGGAAGCAGAAAAAAGGAGAGTCACAGAACATCATCCCAGACTACGTGCCCGCTGTGTTCAGAGCCCTACCACTATTTAATAAGTGCTGCCTGTGTGGTGCGTTTAAAGTCTGTCTCCCTCCGAGCTATAACCCTCATGGGGGAAGAACTCCCATTGTCTTGCTTACTGCTCTATCTCATCTCCAGAACTTAGCACCTCCCTGGCACAGAGCAGGAACCATTAACTGCTACAGAGCTACACATTTAAAAGCAGAAGCAGAGGCACCTTAGAGGCTGGAGACCTGCCAGGTGAGCTCACCTAACCCAGGCTCCTGCTCCAGGCTGCCCCATGGCTCAAGCATTCTCCTCTGGCTTGGGAACTGGTGTTCTCAGCTGCCAGGGAACTGGCATGGAAGAGAGTGAGCTGCACCCAGTCATCCAGGGGACCACCTAAACTGAGGTGGTGGGTGCCCTCTAGCTGTTGCTGCCTCTGAGAGCCTGGAGGGGGAGGAGGGGCAATGGAGGAGCGTCATTGCAGATAGAGCTAAAAATAGCCAGAAGAGATGATGTCATTGAGTTCCTGCATCTTAGCACCCCCTTACACACACACACACACACACACACATACACACACACACTCACACATACATCCTCATTCACTCTCAAAGACAAAGATATACACAAGCATGGCATACATGCACACACACACACACACACACACACACACACACACTCACCTTATATAGGGGAGGGAGGCTTCTAGGTCCCAGGGCTGCAGGGGCAGGGAAGTCTGGTGAGTGTGTCTACATGTGTGTGTCTGTTTGTGCCTGGGTTTGCATGAGTGTGATTGCATGTGTCTGTATCTATATGCTGGTATGCTTGTGTCTGTGTATGTTCATTTGTAGGCATGTGTATGTATTGTTGCATGTATCATGTGGGGGGTCTATATGCATTTGTGTTGGTGTGTATCTATTTATGTGTCCACATGGATGTGTGTGTTTCCTGCCTTTGTGTCTGTGAATCCACTTATATTTATATGACTGCATGTTTGTGGATTGTGTCTGGTATCTTTATATGTTCGGGGCCCCTTTGTGGGCCTAGGGCACTGGCCCAGCCACCTTCTATCTCTGACTGATATTCAACAACCCTTTTTCCATACCCTGAGAAGCCCACCACTTTTGTATACTATGCAACAGTGAATTCTCTGCTCCAGACCTCACTGCAGGGTCCCAGTCTCTGGCAAGCCTTGGATGGACTTAGACAGAGTTTATTTTCCCTTCACAGGCAGCAAAGATCATTAGCCAGGCTTCTTGAACACCAAGGGGCCACCCCATACCCAACCCTCAGGGGCATTAGGACACACACTAACATGCACAAAGCAATACATTAGAAATGGAGACCCTCACAATGTTCCCAAACAGTAGGACACAACCCTAAGGAGACACACCCCTCAGAAATTCAGTTACACCCAATGACACAGGCGCACACTCAGAAATCCAAATGGAAAATCCCCAGGCCAGAGAGCTCAGCACCCTCCCCCATTTCTGGGCTCAAACTCAGTCTTGCCCCACCCCCAAGTGCCCCAGCTCAGCTGCCAGTTCTGCAAACACTGACCTCAGAGGATGGCAGGGGCTGAAGATGATAGGCCCTCCTCAGACTAACCTTTCTGTACTCTCTCCTCCTTCAGGCTCCTGACCTTGATTTTTCTTAGCAGAGCCAATGCTGTCTCAGGCATACCCGTTCCCTCACTAATACTCCTTGACATACACAACCTGCCACAACACTCATTCCATGACAGAGGCATATCCAGTCACATGTGCCTTATACTCCCATTTTCCTGTCACACACCCTTTAACACACACACATAACAGGACACAACTCCTACTGGAGCACTTATGGGTCTGTTTTCATCCCACCCCTCTATGCTCTATGCTCTATGCCTCCCTATACCTTCCAAGATGTCTATCTCCCTGTGCAGATGGGAGTGGAAGGCAGGAGAGCCCCTCACCTCATAGAGCAGATCAAAAGCTGAGGCCAGGGCTGGAGTTGTGGCTCAGTGGTAGAGTGCTTGCCTGGCATGCGTGAGGCCCTGGGTCAATCCTCAGTGCCACATATAAATAAATAAATAAAATAAAAGATTCATTGACAACTAAAAAATATTTTTTAAAAAAGGGTTGTGGTTGTGGCTCAGTGGTAAGAGCTCTCGCCTGGCATGTGTGAGGAGCTGGGTTTGATTCTCAACACCACATAAAAATGAATAAATAAAATAAAGGTATTGTGTCCATCTACAACTAAAAAAAAAAAAAAAAAGGCTGAGGCCAAAGATAGTTGTGTGTTGCTGACCTTGTCCTGTCCTTCCACTGTCTGTGATTCCTATTGTTATCACTGAAGCCTGTCCCTGGGAGTATTCAGCCCCAACCCTGCCCTCATACCCTTCATAGTTGGTTAGAAACCCCTCAGTATGAAATTAGGTAGTTTGAGCAGAACGATTTTATTTGTGGTTCACCATCCACAGCCCCTTGAAGATGAAGGTCCAGAGTAAGCCAAGCTTCTGGGCATTTCTAAAGGATCAGAAAGCTCCCAGGTTGACAGAGGTGTCTGAGAACTGAGGAAAAGGAAGGAGAAGGAAGGGACGTTAGCATTTCTGGAGGCTCCCATTGGCCCTTGGATTCATCCACCTCCCCAAGCCCTCTACTTCCAGCCACTCCATTCTCCATTAAAGCTCTCAATAGCTGGGATTACACCTGTAATCCCAGCAACTCAGAAAGCTAAGGCAGGAAGTTCAAGTCTAGCATCAGCAATTTAGCAAGACCTGATTTCAAAATAATAATAATAATAATAATAGATGTGACATACTAGTACAAACTTTAAAAATAAAATAAAAAGGATTGGGGATGTGGCTCAGTGGTAAAGCACCCCTGGGTTTAATTCCCAGCTCTCAACATTTAGGAAACCTGCCTTCAAGATACCACCATAACTTTGGGATGATATTTCACAATTTGTCCCTTAGAGTGCCTAAAGAGAAGCAGGTGAGGAAAAGCCAGCGGCCCTGCTTTTCAAACCCCCACCCTGAGTCACAAGTCCCCTCTACAACCTTAGTTCTCTGCTAACCTTGAGGTGAGAGGATCCACACACTGGTGGTAGCAGTATGGGTGTTGCTGATTTCTGTGGTCATGGTGGGAAGATTGGTGGCAGCTGGGCCTTGAGGTTTCTGCCGGTACCTTCTTCGGCTACACTTGAACATACTGGGAATCCGGGGACGGGGCCAACCCATACCTGGCCTACGGTAAGGGGAACTCAGGCCCCGGGGCCGAGGGGCACGGACAAGCTGAGAAGGCCCCATGGGCATAAGAAGCTTCTGCAGTGTGCCCGAGGGGTGTTGCTGACCAGGGCAACTAAGGCCTCTATGACATACAATCTGCCTAAGGGTGGTGCTCTTTATTACAGGTCCTGGCCCCCCATGGAGCCGGCTCCCTCACAGTTTTCTTCATTGGGTCCAACTCAAGAGCTAGACAGAGCTGGGTTGTCCCTTGGGTAAAAGAATTCTAGGTAGGGGGGAAAAATCACTCAATTTTTTCATTTATGCACATTAACATTATTAACAATGTTTATTGAGCACTTGTTATATGTCAGACACTGTGTTAAACACTTTACAAATGTTGTCTAATTTCATGATAAACTTACAAAAAGATTCTATTATTATCCCCATTTGTACATAGTCAGCTTTCTTTATTCCCTGTAGTTATGTTCCACAAAGTCACCACAAACATTAACCAATTCTGTATCATCCCCAGGGGAAATGCACAGGTTGCTACAACTCTCAGTCACAACATTTTTTGAAAATGTTCAATGATCAACACATAACCTGGTTTTGTGAGTGGAGATACCTTATTTAATATAGAGTATTGAGTCATTAACAATGAACTTGTGGCCACCAGAAGTATAATCTGAGCCTGATTCAAGTTTATCTAACATATTCATTTTAAAGCACATTATGAGCTTCTTGTGCTTAGGAACCTAGAGGATACTTTAGCACTACTACTAGGAGCTATTTTAACCTGCAAAATCACCAAAAAGAAAAAAAAAGTGAAAAAAACATGGCATTAAATAGACTCTCAAAACAACATTTGTTTAAGAGAGCAAAAAAAAAAAAAAAATACAGAGTCCCCTTATTCAACATACCTCAGCTGGAAATGTATATGTGTTTGGCAACTCAAATTTTTTACCTTGTCAGGTATGGTGGCACATATCCGTAATGCTAGCTTCTCAGGAGGCTGAGGCAAGATGATAGCAAATTTAAGGCCAGCCTCGGCAACTTAGGGAGAGCTTCTCTCAAAATAAAAAGAGGTGGGGATATAGCTGTATGGTAGAACAGTTGCCTAGGATGTGCAAGGTTCTATGTTTGATTCCCAGAATAAAAAAGAAATATTTTGATTTTTACTTTGCTATGCATGTACACAAATGACTGCAAAAGTGTCACAAGTATTCGTTTGGGGTTAAAAAATAATTTTAATGAGTAGGTAAATTCACAGTTATGGAATCCATGAATAATAAGGATTGACTGTATAAGAAAATTGAGGCTCAGTGAGATGAAGTAACACAATTAGAGGTAGGCAGTAGTTCAGGTACGTGATGGTCAAGGTCCAGAGCATTCTCTCTTGCTATTCTGTGCTCATTCACTCATTCAGGAAATGTTCACTAACAACTTCATATTAGTGTGGGCACCGGGGACATATAGAAGAATGTGACCTGTTAGATGAAAGAGAAAGCCTTATGAATAATCAATACAGGTGGAAATGTAAGGGYGCTAATTTTGTGTACATCTCCTTCCTTATAGATAGGGGCTCTGCCCTGCTTTGCACTGAGTGGGGGGACTTGGACTTGCCTTTCCCTCTATAATTCAGCCCTCTATCCCTTTCCCTTCTACCCTAATGTCCACCTTCTGTCCCATAGAAGCCTGCTGGAAGATGGTAGGGCCCTCAGCACTACTGTGGCAGATCTTACCRTCCCTGACTCCAGCCTCTACTCTCCTTATCCTCAGTCTCAAAATATGACCTTGCCCCACCAAACTTTAGCCACTTACCTGTAAGACTCTCTGCCCCTCCTTTTCCTCAGATCTAGGACCAAGGCCTTCTCCCCTGCTCTTTAYTGAAATCAACCCGACCTGCCTCCTTAGATTCCATCTGAGTTGGCATAGTGGTTAAGAGGTGCACTCCGGTGTCAGGCTGACTGACAGGTTGATTCCTAATCATACAATTTGTAAGTGGTAGACCCAGGGTTCTACTGATCATGGCAAGTACTTAATTTTTCTATGCCTCCAATTCCCCATATTTAAAGTGGGGATTAAAAAGGAAATATCTCATAGGATTGTTGTRAAGGAGGAAAAAAGACAATATATGTAATGCATTTTAAGCATAATCTGTATTATTATTTTTTTAAAGACTAGTCTTGATAGGTTGCTAAGACTAGMCTTTTGGTTTWAAAAAAWWTTTTTTTAGTTGTAGATGGACACAATAACTTTATTTTTATGTGATRCTGAGGATCAAACCCAGTGTCTCACACATGCTAGGCAARCACTCTACCAYTGAGCTACAACCACAGCCCCTCAGACTGATCTTGAACTTGTGGGTTTAAAGGATCTTCCCACCTCAGTCTCCAGCAACCCAGTTTATAGTCTTCAATATTATGATTCTCTCTCTCTTCTGTTTGTTTAGTTGCCTCCTCCCACTTAATTATAAAAAATTTAAAAATATACTTCCTGGACTTGGGGTGTAGCTCATCCCATAGCCTTTGTGCTATATGGCTCTTCCTTCTGACTTTGCTCTATGCTCTTTCCCCTGTGACCTAGAGCAGGAAGAAAATCCCATTTTAAAACCCCATACCTATTCAGACCAGGAAACAGATGTTTAAAAACAAGCCTAAGAAAAGCCAGCAGGATCATATAGCTAAGAAATGACAGAGCCAAGATTTGAACACCCAGTTTGAGTAACTGGAAAGCTAGGGCTTTCCCAACACCTCTTCATCAGGAATGGTGAATGGGAGGTTGAGGAGGTAGTCCTGGGAGGATTGATGAAGACAGAGGTTATAGAGCCTTGGAACTGGGGTGACTCCTTTGTGGGACCATGATGCCACCTGCTGGCAGAAAGAAAAAGGGTATGCACAGAATGCTAAAAGAAGACTGGAGAGGAAAATATGGGGAAGGAAAAGAGAGGGGAAAAAAAGGGAACTTAAGGTTTTATGGAGGGAAAAGGACTGGGAATCATGTGCTACTCAGAGGAGAGAACAGAAGCTGCCAAACTTGGTCATTTTCTTGAAAGTGTGGCTGGTGGGCTGGGGCTGGGGCTCAGCAGTAGCATAYTTGCCTGGTATGTGTTGAGGCACTGGGTTCAATTCTCAATACCACATATAAATTAAAAAATTAATTTAAAAAAGGTCTATAAACAATTAAAATAATATTAAAAATAAAATAAAATTTTAAAAAAGGAAGTGTGGTTGGTGTGTGTGTGTGTGTGTGTGTGTGTGAGAGAGAGAGAGAGAGAGAGAGAGAGAGAGAGGCAGACAGACAAAGATAGACAAAGAGGAAGGCAGAGGCAGATGCAGTGTGTCTTAAAATATGTATCTCAGATATTCTATTGTTTTTTAGTTGCTGGGAGTCAGTGCACAAGGAGTCCAGAGTGCATGTGCACACACATGTGTGCACCAGTAGCTGTTTTTAGATATGTGACTATGTGTTTGATGTGTGAACATATGGCTGACAACCTGGGGAGATGTGCTCTCAGAGCYGTGAGCATAGGGTGTGGAGGAGTGCATTAGCAGATGTAGGATAAGAAGTATGTGTGCACTGTTGTATGCAGGGCACTCAGAAGTTCTGGAAGCCACACACCTCAGCCCCATCCTTCTCCCGCTTCTTGAGATCAGGAGAAGCATAACCCATGGGTGACATTTCTAGGCGGAGGCCCATTGCTGCTGTAGTGATGGGGACCAATCTCCAGGCAGCAGAGGGCAGTAGGGACAAGGGGAGGCTGATTGCCATGGGTGGGGCCAGCGAGCGGGCAGAAGGAAGCTTTTAAAGCGCCTGCCCCACCTGCAGGTGAGCACTAGAGTGTGAGATTCTGCCTGCCTTGCCGGTTCACAGAGTGGAAGCTCCCTGGAGCTGTTCTGTTTTCTTCTGAAGCCTCAGCAGGATCCCTCTCAGAACTAGCTGCCGAGAGGTCTGAACAGGTGATGGTATAGGATAGAGATTATCTTGTGAAGTGATATTAATTTTGAAATTTGTTTGAAGATCTGGAAGAGCCATGGGGAGGGTCCTGGAAAGGTCTGGATTTGGTCTGGAGAGAAACCTAGAACATACAGGTGTTAAGTAAGGGTATATGAAGTGACCTACCTGCAGTGTGGGAGTAAGGCTTGGGGTACTCCTGCAGGAGTCAGGGGTGTTAGGATCCCAGAGACGCCAGTTCTGGCAGAAGGTCTGGTACGTAGTATAGGTGGGTACAGATGTCAAGATGGGAACTTTGTAAAATCCTGAGGAGTCCAGAGTTCAGGTGCAGAGAAAGCTTGGTGAGATATGGGTCCAGGAKGTTGGGGTCTGGTGTGTTGGGGCGTAGAAGGCAGGGCCAGCCCAGGTGGGGTGGGGGACATGATGCCCTAACTTGCACATCTGCCCCTAGGAGCCACCATGCAGTGTTTCAGCTTCATTAAGAACATGATGGTCTTCTTCAATACGCTCATCTTTGTAAGTATGGAAGTTGTGTGCCCTGTGGGGMTCCCTACAGGAGCAGGTCACCATTTGAACAGAGCCCAAGCTGGGGAATGGGAGACTACTGTGCCCAGTCTTTTCCTTGCAAGTTTCCCTTATGAGAGGTCTYCCTTCAAATGCTGATTCCTGGATCCGGTAGAAGTGGGGCTGCCACAAGGGGGAGGGGGGCCATTTGAAGAAGGGAATGGAGAAGTTTTAGGACACCCCCTTCCTTCTAGGAAGCTTCAGCTCAGGTGTAGGGCAGGGCAAGATAGRCTAGCAGGAGTGATTCTCCCCTTTTTATAGGCATAGGGGGTTCTGAGAGGGGAAGGGATTCGCCTAAATTTTTCTAACATGGAAAGCAATTTCAGTGGCCTCTGTAAGTGGGAGGAGGGAGTTGAAAGGAGGCAGGGACCATGTCTCCTTAGAGCAAAGAGTCTGTCTCAGCCCTTATTCATTCAACAAACACATTGATGGGGCTGAGGGTATAGCTTTGTAGTAGAGCTATAGCATCTATAAGGCCCTGTAGAGCACAGTAAAACAAAAACAAACATTCTTTGACTAAGACTCTAGCCAGGTGCTCGGGTAGTAAGTGAGCAGGGCCATTTTCTACCCTCAAGGATATCAGATCCAGTAAGCCAAATAGGCAGATAACTGTGATGCAATGTATGTCTGGATTTAACACAGGGGATAAGGGAGYCTATAGGAAGGGCTAGAACCTAGCCTGGTGGGAGAATACTTCCTGGAGGACATAACTGGAGCTAGGAATTTGTATTGGGTGGGGAGCTATAAAGCATACATAAACCCCAAAGGAAATGAAACTCGATATTGTTCTGAAAACCAGGAACAGATTGCATAGGGCATGTTTGAGAAACTAAGCAATGAAACTGGCCAGTAAGCCCTGGAGATGAGGGTAGAGATAAGGAGAAATGGACAAAGTATACAAAGGACAAAGCCCTGAGATGGTGGCTAAGGGATGAAAGAAGGGACAAGGAAGACAGAGGTCTTAGAGATGATGCTTATGTCTGACATGAGCAACATGTGGGACAGGAAGGGAATATCTCACAAGCAATTGTCTACCCAGTGGAGATGCAGCTCAAATTGGAGCTTGCTGTGGATATTTGAAAGTCACATGCCCATAGGTGGCCAATGAAGCCAGGGGACTGCAAGAGAGCCCTTGGGAAAAGTGAACTCTGGGATTAGCTCAGTGGTAGCGCACTTGCTTAGAACACATGGGGCCCTGGGTTGTAGCGTGAGTGGGGCGGGAAAGGTGACCTGTGAAAACAGATTATTAGGGATAAGCAGGGAAATAGCCACCATTAAAGAGATGGAGGAGGAGCAGTGGGAAAAGGAGGAGGAAAACAAGGAGAGTAAGATATCAGAAAGGTCAAGGAGATAAGGCCCGTGAAGTGATTTAGMACAGGAGGTCACTAGAGAACTCAGAGCTACATTATAGTGGATTAGAGTGAGTAAAAGGTGAGGAAGTGGAGACATGAAATAGAAATCAGTTTGGAGAAATTGGGTGGGGAGACTCTGACTCCTGTGTAGTCCATACCTCGTGTTTTCTTTGACTACAGAGAACTAGCTTTTATTCATATATCTGGAGGGAGCCATAGGATTCCAGGGATTGGGAGAGCAGAATCTTTTTGGCCTGAAGGGGTTAAAGGCAAATCCGGCTTGGTGTTTGGCCTCTTTTGCCCTGGCTTTGCCAGGCAGGGCTGAGTAGAGTAGGGCAGGCCTAGGCTCCTTGAAATTTGACCCCACGGGCTAGAAGCCCAGTGTTCTGGCTGTCCTTAGGCAAACATGCCTGAGATCCAGCCACAATCTGCCAGCTTATCCCTGATTCTAGCCTTGGTTTCTATAGGTAGAAGGTGGGGACTAGGCACTAAATTGATGTCAGGCTGATTCACCCATTGATAATCTGAGTCAGAGACGCTTTATGTTAGGAGCTGTGGGAAGGACTTACCCCAACTGGCTCCTAGAATTCCCTATGAAGATTAGGGTTGAGACGGAGCCCTTTAAGAGAAGCTCAGGCTGATTTCCCCTAATTTCTATTTGTAAGGCAAGGGGGACTATGTGGATAAGGAGAAGGTCTGGTGTCTGATCCCAGAAGGGAGCCAAATGAGACTTCAGGGTGGGTGAACCCTTTCAAGCTCCACCCTCTTCAAAGTAGGGAGCAGGTGCAAACTTCAGCCCCGCCTCTGTTACCATGGTGACTATTGAGCCTGCTCAAAGCTACCACCCGTTTCCACCTATTAGAGGACAGAGGTGTTTTAGGTGCTGGTAGCCCAGAGAGGAAATGAGAGATCCGGCCCTCACCTGCCTGTTTTCACTCCTAGATATGTGGCAGGACCCTAGCATCAGTAAGGGAAAGTCTTCTCTCTTCCCTGACCCTGTGGGTGTTTCTAGTGCTCCTGATCTCATTTGTACTCAAGTGTGCAGTCTGGTGCTAGCTATGGTTTTCCCAAATCCCATCTTTCTGGCACTAGAGGATGTTTCCCTCCCCACATGATTCCCCAGCCAAGGAAGTGGGAGACATCCTCCTGACTCAACCCTATGATAGGGAGCTATTTGCCAGCATTGTTTGAATGCCTGCCTGACTTCTCTGTCCCCAGCTGTGTGGTGCTGCCCTGTTGGCTGTGGGCATTTGGGTGTCGGTTGATGGGCCATCCTTCGTGAAGATCTTTGGGCCGATGTCATCCAGTGCCATGCAGTTTATCAACGTGGGCTACTTCCTCATCGCAGCTGGAGTTGTGCTCTTTGTTCTTGGTTTCCTGGGCTGCTACGGTGCTAAGTCTGAGAACAAGTGTGCACTCATGACGGTGTGTCAGACCCAGTTCCACAGGTCTATGACCAAGGACCCCCTCACCCTTGGGATCCCCAAATCCTACTTTGTACTCCAGGGATTTCCAATATAGGGGATCCCTGCCATGTTTTTACAGTAGGAGGGTCGGTTAGGGCAAAGAGAGCATGAGGGGCCATCTCTCCCTAAAACTCAGACCCCTGTTCCCCACTCAGTTCTTCTTCATCATCCTCCTCATCTTTGTTGCTGAGATTGCAGCTGCTGTGGTTGCCTTGGTGTACACCACAATGGTGAGGCACTGAAATGGGTAAGGGAGGAAGACTGGGCAAAGCCCTGGGAGTGGACTATGGCCTGTACATGGCCACCTTCCCTACCAGTCCCTCAACATTGGCCTGCTCCACCTAGGCTGAGGAATTCCTGAAAATGGTGGTAGTACCTGCCATCAAGAAAGACTATGGTTCCCAGAAAGACTTCACCCAAGTGTGGAACTATACCATGGAAGGGGTAAGGCAGACTGGGGGGATTTTGGGGGTGGAGATAAAGAATCAAGKCCCCACCAAACACCTACCCCACCTTGCTTCTAGCTCAAGTGTTGTGGCTTCAACAACTACACGGATTTTGAGGACTCGCCCTACTTCAAAGAAAACCAACTCTTTCCTCCATACTGTTGTATCAACATCAACGGAACAGCTGAAGAACCTTGTACCATGTATGAGGCCCAGAAAAACTCTGTACAGGTGAGGGGCATGGAAGGGCAGGGGCTGCTTTAATGGCCTCAGAAAGAGTAGCAAATAGGGATGAGGGGTAGGGTAGCTGCCAACTATAAATGCTCTCTCCCCTTCCCCAAGGGTTGCTTCAAACAGCTTCTGCATGACATCCGAACCAATGCATTCACTGTGGGTGGTGTGGCCTTTGGAATTGGGGCCCTGGAGGTAAGGCAACAAGGAGGCTGGGGCTGGGGTTCTGATTACCACCATACCTGGGCTGCTTAACTCATCTCTGAGGCCTCTCAGAAGAGACAGACATCCCCCCCCCCCACACGCTGGGAATTGAACCCAGATTTCTGTGTATACTAAGCACATGCTCTACCAGTGAGCTATATCCAGCCCAGGAGACAGACTTCCAACAGAGCTTCATGTAGGCTGTCTGGGGCGCAAGGGACCAATGCTTGAGGATCTCAATCATATCCCTCATCTCTCCCTGTTCCTTTCCCACCAGCTGGCTGCCATGATTGTATCCATGTACCTGTACTGCCATCTGAAATAAGTCCACTTCTGCCTCCGCCATTGCTGTTGCCACATGGGAACTGGAAAAAGGCACCATGGCACTAACAGTGTCACTGGGGCTGGAGTGGGCCTGCCCTTGCTGCTCTGAACTTGGGGCTAAATAGAAAACCACCCCTTTCAGGTTGGGACCCACCTGTTCCAGAGCCTTAAGGTAGCCAATTCTTCTGACTRTTTCCTCAGTCTGTTTCTTCCAGCCTTAATACCCCCTTAGGCTAATGGGGGCTTTTGATGATCCCAGTCTCCACCGGAGGATGAGAGAAAGGGACCCATAGCCTGGGCATATTAAAAGTCAGCAGGATGTGTACAAGGCACTTCAAAACTGAAACACCAATTAAAATGTTTCTATTTGGACTCTGCGTATCCTTGGGGAGAGGGACTCAGCTTGCCTAAACCTCCTTCAGATTCCAGTGGGGCTGKCAACTCAGAAGCCCTTGGAAAAACTGTAGAAGGGAAGTGTGTGGGGGGGTTAGATTCCAGGCCTGGGAGGGAGCCCAAGAGGGATAGGTAAAAGGGCAGTGAGGAAGTGAGAGCTGGGCCAGTCTGCCTTCCTAGAATGGTGTGGGACTTTGGCCTGAAATTTTCCCCCTCTGGGTGGGGGCACTGGACTGGAAAGCTATGAAAATAACCTTGTGCCCAGTCAAGGGAGAATGGAATTGTTACCAGGGCAATGGGAAAGTCACTCCTTAGACTCTGGGAAGCCCTCCAATAGTGCCCATCAGAGGGTCCAAGCTGCCTTCTCACTTAGGCAAAGTCCTAGATCTGTTCTAGCTTTGGGGATCTTAGAAAGCAGTCCCCCACAACCTCCCACCCAGCATTGGGGATGAAACCCCAGGACACTCTACTACTGAGCTAAATCCCCYATCTATCCATCTAGAGTCAGGGTCTCACCCATTTGCCAAGACTGACCTTGAATTGCTATCCTTCTGCCTTGGTCTCCCAAGTCGCTGGAATTACAAGTGTGTACCACCACGCCTGCCCAGCAGACCTGATCTCTTATTTAGTCTTAACCATCTCTATGACCCAGGTAAGGAAACCAGGACTTAAAAAGGCCAAGTGACTTGCCCAAGTCCCACAGCTTTAGTGAAGAGATGAGTCTAGACTTGGACTCTGACTTTAGAGCCTGGTGTGGTCCTTTTTGACATGATGRTAGTTTTACTTGAAGTAGCACCTGACCAGAATGTTCCTGAATATTGCTGAATAAGGCATGACATCACAAAGGAAGAAGGCTAGCTGGGCACAGTGGCACATGCCTATAATCCCAGTGGCTCAGGAGGCTAAGGCAGGAATATTGGGAGTTCAAAGCCAGCCTCTGAAATTTAGCAAGGCCCTTAGCAACTTAGTGAGATCCTGTTTCTAAATAAAATATTTAAAAAGGSCTGGGAATGAGGCTCAATGATTAAGTGCCCCTGGGTTCAATCCTTGGTACTAGTGGAGATGGTGGTGATGGGGGGTGTCTTTCTTGTTTTCTATCACACATATAAAGGAGGTAAGTGCTGACAGGAAGACAGTGTTTGCTACCAAGAAAAGCCCGACCCCATTAAACTAACTCCTTCTTTGCTTTCCTCAGATGTTTTTATCTATCTCCCTAGGCTTTTCCAGGGCACCCCAGATTTACTACCCCCTTGTCAAAACCAGAAAGGAACAGCAACCTAGCCAGAGCCATTTGGCCTGAGGTATGGTCTGTGAAGCCAGACCTAAAGCCTGCTAGTGTGCTAGGCAGAGAGAGGAATTAGCATACCTTAGCCCTTTACCACCCCACCACCCTACAGTCTCTCTCATATACTACCCCTCCCCCACGTATCCTGTGAGGAAGCTGCAGAGGATTTGTTTGCCCAGGGCGAGCCTCTACCTCATCACAGGCTAATTGCCCCTCAACCTGACTGTTTTGATACATCATATACTATCTCTAGCTCCAGCAAACACTGAAGGCGTCAGGATGGCGAGATATGACCAAGCTATCTAAATGGTATCATTGCTGAGCTGGGCTCCAGGCACCGGTAGAGAGGCAGGACAGAGAACAAGGGCAAGAGTTCCAATAAGTTCCTGCCTTCCTGGCCAAGGCTCTATAACAGGCAGACCCTTTCTCAAGAGGTGTCCTACACTCAGATCCTGATCCTAAACCCTTCATAGATCCTTTAAATGTCAAGTCCCCTTGCCTTGGACTATCACATACTCCCTCTGGACAATCCTACCTGTTTCCTGGAGACTGACTAACTTAGATCTTCCTGCTCTTTGTCACTGGCTGGCTGAGTGAGAATCTGATGAAAACTATCACCCTCTTCTCCAGAAAAATACCAACATGACATTATTCATACAAAGTACCCTAAGACCAGACACCTTTGCTCCCACGCCTGTCTACAACYCAGTCCTAGCCCCCTGACTTGATGCCTGCCTAGGATCCTCCCAYGAAATCACCTCTTTAGGCCCCAGTGGCTGCCATTCACTGTTCCTGTCTCAACCACTTCCTTCCCACCCCCACTATGTTCACCTGCTCTCCTATCCCTCTCCCCCATCCCTTTTTCTGCTGCTCCATCTCTGGGGACAGGTGCAGGGCCCACACAGCCAAAGTAGGAATAGCCTGGTAAACAGTGGGGAAGGGGTGTGGGATGACTGCTTGAAGCTCAGCTCCAATTAGGGTGGGGCTAAAGTCAGGGTGTCCTAGGGTGGAGCCTGGGGAGAAATCTTGGAATTTGAAACTTGGGCCTCCCCTGGTGGCCAAATGGGCCCAAATGGAAGATAAATCCTGTGAAATACAGTAGGCAAATCTATCATCCATTCAGATGATTCTCTCCCTCACCTCTCTGCCTCTCTATGCACTCCCAACACATACACGACACATTCCCACAGGTTTTCTCCTTTTTTAATCAATGATCACCTTATCCAGCTTCAGAAACCTGGACAAAGAGGAAGCTGAGAGAGGAAGCCTGGTTCAGTGTCAGAGGGTCTCTGAGTGATTCTGTGTCAGCATATGGACCCTACCTGGGCCTGTTCATGGGTTGGGCACAGCAATTTCCTGAGTAAGAGCCAGTCCCACCCTCAGGGCAGTATTTCTGCCCCAAAAGGAATCAAAGCCCTACAGTTCTGGCCTATTTCCAAGGCTCCCAGGGCAGTCAATAAATAGGTTAGATTCTGAGCCAGGCCTGGGAAGAGGGGACGTACAAGGGGAAAGATCAGCTTCCCAGGGATCCCAAAGATTCCCAGGTACTGTCCTGCCCTTCTCTGACAAGGAAGTAAATAAATAGACCTTAAACTCAACAACAGGGGAGTTGGGACAGGGGAGCCCTCCCCTTCAAGTTAGTAATTAAGTCTCATGTTAAAAACAAACCAGCCCCAGCCCCTACCAGCATCTACAAAATCCTAAAGGATGGGGTGAAGGGCTAGCCTGCCTGGGGGTACACAGTACCCAGCCCTGCAGGGTCCTGGAGGTCTCATGTCTGTTCAGCGGCTCCCGGGGCTCCCTCCTCCTTTGGGGGTGGCTCCAGGAAAATTGGGGTGACTGATGGTGGCTTCTTCACTCTGGAATAATACAAGAATTATACATAGAGAAGAGCAATGTCCGTCAATCCCATTAAGCCCCCATTTCCCCAGATAAAACAGGGTCACTCACGAGTAAGGGGAGGCTGGGACCCCCACCACCAGGAAGTGGTTCTTCTTCCGAAATAATCTCCATAGACCCCGGTGGTTGCCACGTACATCCAGGTCCCAGATATGGAGGCACTAACAGAGGGGGAAGTGAGAAACATGGTTCAAGGAGCTGAAGGGCCACTGAGGACCCAGTAGCCACCTCAATCTGTAAGAGGTGGCATCTTCTGGACCGTGAATTTGGACAAGGGGATGGAAGAGAGGTTCTGAGAGAATGGAAAAGGTCCTGAGATTGAAGTCTCCAGAACAAAGGCTCCCTGCATCTTGGAGCATGGGTTGGGGGAAAGTGTGTGTTAGGGCACCTTGGCAAGCTGGGTCCAGGTGGTGAAGTCATCCTCTTTCTCCATTCGGATAAAAGCCACATAAGTGTGGCCCTCTGTGTCTGGCAGGAAGGAATCTTCACAAGGGTTCTTGCTGTGGTCCAGAACTTCAGCCTCACTGCAGTGGAGGGTGCAAAGGTAAGGCCAAGGCAGAGCATGCTTTGGGGTATGTCTCACTGGATCCTGGGCTTAGTTTAATGCTCTGCTGTTGCTATCTTGAAATTCTTTTTTTTTTTTAGAGTTTTTTTGATATTTATTTATTTATTTTAGTTTTCGGAGGACACAACATCTTTGTTTGTATGTGGTGCTGAGGATCAAACCCGGGCCGCACGCATGCCAGGCGAGCACGCTACTGCTTGAGCCACATCCCCAGCCCCTGAAATTCTTAATAACAATTAGGGACGCTGATTTTCATTTTGCATAGAGACCCACACATAATGGAGCCTAAAATCCCAGTATTTAACTCCTTACCCCCAGCCAAACGTGCCAATTGCCCTGGGTCATACCTGAGTAATCTGTGAATTTCCACTTCATAAGCATCTTTCTTCAAACTGGAGAGGAGGGAGAAATGTGTCAAGGGAGGAGGGGAGCAGGTCCTCAGGTCCCATGGGTATAGCAATGGGCAGGGCAAGGGGTCACATGAGCAAAGAAGGCAGCAGGACTGGGATAAATACACAGGTCCTAGGTCTGGAAGGGACCAAGGACAAGTCATCAGGTCTCCTAGATCTTCCCCTTGTCCTGCTGCCAGCCCCCACCTGTCCACATTCCGAAGCTGGACACCAGGAACCGTGTTGAACTTGTGCTTCTTGAAGTAGGCCTCCTGGAGTGGGTGTGAGGGTGAAAATCAGGGCCTACACTGACCCACCACAGATCTACAAGACCCACAAATGAAGTCCTAGGTCTGGAAAGGGCCCTCGAGTTCCTCCCGACTCTTTGCAGCATCCTTGGCAAGCTCTAACTACTTTAATTTGGGCTCCACCATTGTTGGAGAGCTCATGCTGACAGGGCAGCTCATGCTAGTAACTGAGTTAGTTCCTGTTCTCGTGGCTGTCCCTGGGCCTGCTGTGCTAGAACCAAAGAAGCCAGGAACAAGCCCTGCAAGAGTTGGTGACAAAGGGACAGACTGGGCTGAGAAGGAAGAAATTGCTGACTCTACTGAGAGTGACCTAAGGAAAGTGCCTACCCCACTCTGGGAGATGAGTAAGGCTTTCATATTAACTAGCTTCTGGAGGTCTTCCTGGCTTCTAGGAGGTTCCAAACTGATTCCATTCCTTTGAATTGGGCTATCTCAAGGGCCCTCTCACTGGGG